ATCATTGCGGGCGCGAGTGATGGAGAGTAGCTTGCCCGTCCTGAGCACGGTCATGATGCCCTCCTTCTCAACGTCGCCATGGCCAGAATAAACCGTTCAAGCCTGCTCTGACGGCTCATGCTCATGGGTCCGTTCAGCGAACTCGACCTCCCCGTTTCCGGTCTCCGACATGCCCCCGTGACTGATGATGCCCTGGGACGGGAAGACGATGGCCCAATACTCCCCGGCGTCGGCGCCTGTTTCCCCCCACCCGAGGCCGCAGTTCTTGCCGACGCACCTCCCGTGGCCGCCTCCCGCGGCGGTGCCTCCAGTTGCATCCCGCTGCGCTCGCTGCTGACATCGCACCTACTCTTTCGGATTGAGGGAGGCCGCCTTGCAGTGCGGGCAGACGTCCATAATGTGTCGCCACCGAGAGCGATCGTGAAGTCAGCCTCAACTCCCAGACGCTCATCTTTCAGGATGGTTTCGTCGGCCTCCTCCAAGTGGACGCTCGGAACGACTGGGCCCGTTTCCATACTTCGCGAGCTCCTCGAGTATGGCGAGGCTGATGGTCGTGAGTTGCTGTGACAGGGATTATATAATTTGCGTGATCATCATGTTGTACGACTCGGCGTTCAAGCTCGTTATACCAGGCATCATTCACTCGTCGGGGACAGCGTGTTTCTTACGGCCATGGTGCTGGTAGCACATGTAGCGGCAAAGTTTCGAGGGATCGGGGAACCTATTGACGAGCGGTTGCTTGTCCTTGCAATCCACGGTTTTGGCGACGTGCTCGTGCGTGAGGAGCGAGCCGATGCTCTGAAAAGCGGGGGTGTCGCCATTGTCGTCGGCCTGGACGATTCTTGCAGTAGTGCCACTCGACTGGATTGTGGGCGATGGCGTGGCCGCCCGAGACCAGATGATACCGTCGGAGTCCTTAACCAGACGAAACATTGTTTCCTCGGAAATGACTCTCGGGGACTACCCCGCATTCGCCTCGTTCCACTCCCCATCGCGTTGCCAAGCTGGCGGCAAGGGAAACAACCCGCCCTTGTGCTGGCCAGGTTCCCATCCCGAAGGGTCGTATGGAGTTTCGCTGCCGCCCGCTTTCGCCTCCCCCCTGCCATCGTTTGCATCGGTAACACCCGCCATCTTTCTGCGCGCCCGCGGGGGCGACATGGGTTCCGACACTGCAGGCGCAGAGGGGCCTGTCTCACTGACCCGCCGCAGCGCGGAATCGAAGGCGCACGGCCCAAGGGCAAGCTACAGCTCCCAACCGTTCTTCTGAAACGGACAAGCGCCTTAGCCCAAATGGCAGCAAACGTCGGGAGGTTAGAGGGGAGGGTACAGTTTCGTGTTGGTACACGGAGACGTAACATTTACCAAAAATGCCGACTCTTTCCATCGTTTCGATCAAGTGCCTGGTGGAGATATCTGTGCGAATCATGTATGTCACGCTTTAGTCTACAGCGAACTCTTGTAAGTCCTTCCACATTTCACTGCGAATATGTTTTCCGTCTTCAGGCACAACACTGTGCGTCGCGAGCATGACCCGTGTAGCCTAAGAACAAATTCGCTGTCTCACGACTGGCAACGACTGCTCATAAGCGGTCGGCTTCCACACAAAGGCCGAAGGCATAAGAGGAGGAGCACCCACCCCACTCGCGAGGTACATGCCGACCATTTGCAATGCGAGCCACATGCAGATGCCAGCACACAGCGCCGTCACGTAACACGAATGGCCGCAAGCTGTTGATGCCGGCGTTTTGCACTGGCATATTGGTATCAATGCCGAAGACCCAAAACCAAAGTGTATCGCGAAGTAGCCGATGCCGCTGAAGACAACAAGAAGGCAGCACCCAGCGACGATGCCTAGCCCAACGAAACGCACCCCAACTAGGGTACGACGCGAGGCCAGAACTCGTGAACTCGACTCTCTGGGCATAAGATTCGATTGTCCAAGGTGTATGCCAAATACTCCTCCTAAGTGCACCAGTGCCTGCCCTATGTGATTCTGGGTTGAAATTCCACAGGACCCCCCAGACGGGATGGATGCCAGGGTCCACAGGCCACACACTCCCCCCCCAGATTGGATGGGACGGAATGATGAAGACGGCGACGACGACGACGACGACGACGACGACGACGACGACGACGTTGACAACGACGACGACGACGCCGACGCCGACGCCGACGCCGACGCCGACGCCGACGATGCCGACGCCGACGCCGACGATGCCGACGCCGACGCCGACGCCGACGCCGACACGTACGCCGACGCCGACGCCGACGCCGACACCGACGCCGACGCCGACGCCGACGGAGGACGACATCGACGACGACGACGCTGGCGACGACGACGACGACGACATCCACCCTCCACCACGCCACGCCCTCAGGGCCACGACCACAAGGGGGGGGACGCGTTGCCATTCGCGAAGCCTTCGCGAGGCTCACCGGCGTACCCGTTCAGCGGGGGCCCGATCTCATTAGCATTGGAGGGGTCGGGGGGGGGCCAGAGCCCTTGACCATATATACTTCCTCAAAATTTGTAAACAACCATCAAGTCCGCTGCCGAACGTAATGTGTCGGGAAACGGAGAATCGGTTGGGCTCGACACGAGATGCGCAATATCAAGGTTTTGCGGGTAGGATAAGAAGCATATGTGCGCATGCTTCCAGCAGGCCACGACTGCAAGACTTGATCGACCAGGACGTGAACGCCTTCTTACCAGCTACGCAGAATGAAGAGGTCGCATCCAAGGCCATCCGAGTGAAGCATAAGAGCCCAACTCAGACCCCCTGCGCGGGCAATGACGGGTGTGATGTCTTGCTCGATGACATTGTGAATGATCGGTCCTGTCACGTTCTCTATCGGATCCAAAAGGTCTTCTTCCGCTGGTCCCGTGCATCTTTCCAAAACTGCCTGCTTGCGGAGAGATGCTGTTGTGCAATAGGCTCCCATCTAGCACGTGTGTAGGATTCTCCACGTGCTCATCCTCCGCTTTACTCTTGACAAGCCTCTCGACATACCAATGGCGAAGCCGACCTCCTGCCCAAAGTATTGCGCCCACGGCGACTGCGATTAAGCTAGAACACAAGAGCCCATCATGTGCGTGCGTGTTAAATTTCCACTAACACCGCTGTCAAAAGTGAAGCGTGTCGCACTGTTTGTGATGTGCGGGCCGTTTTCCGCCCAACATGTGAAACGGTAAAACCATGGTGGTGAGACGTCTGATCGTTGCGAAGGTTTGTCAAGAATGCGCGAAATCCCCCTTCTCGCAGGAGCATGGCTGCGTTTCTGTTCCAACCAAACAATATTGACCAATATCGTAACACGACTGCGTGTCGCAAGTGACGCCCATCTCGGATGACAAAAGAGCGGTCTGGAGCACAAAGCAGCCCAAAAAACAAACGCATGGTTACACCAACATCACCAGTGTGTTCTACTGTTTTAACCAAAGCCCTGACGACCGCCGCCAGGCCGGGCAACGCGCAACCGATGGTTGCGCCGGCCATTTGGCTTCAACTCCTGGGCCCACACGCTTACAAGGGGCAGTGGTTTGTCGCCGTGCAAATCGTATGCTTGGGCTTCTTGGAGTGCATGTTGCTTTTCTGGCAGGGGATCTGTAGTGCCGCTACCAGCAACCGTCCCTTCAAGTTGTTCATGTTATTCAATTTGACAAACGACTTCACAGCCCCAGGCCTGCCCCAGGACAGCGCACGAGCGCCCCACGACGGTCCTAGATGTCTCAGATTGGCCCAGGACGGCCCAAATGCCGCTCGAAAGCGGTCACCAAGACGTTACCAAGAATCTCTTCAGATGGCTGCTGGGAAACGAAAAACACCTGAAATGTTTCAGTGCGTTCAGCTTCCCGCTCTTCTCCGCTCCTCCGTTCCCACTGTTCTCCCCTACTTTGTCTCTCTATCGTCCCTAAACCTAACACCCAAGCCTTATGATCAATGACATTTCTCTCATGCAAGGCCCAGCCGAATCTGGCCTGAGCCACCTGCGATTACAAAGTTGCAAGTAAGACTATGCGGCCCCTATGCGTGCCAATGTGTCTCCAAAGCGGCCGCAAGACTCGCCAGAGCCCCTCAAGGCGAGCCAGGGAACCCGTGTTGCCATATCTAGAACACATGGGAGGGCACAAGAGAAACCTGGGACACCGCAAAGACCTCCCGAATGGCTCGAGCTGAGCCCTCAGAAGCGCACAGCATGACCCCAGGATGTGGATATCGAATCGTCGCCCAATGTAGAACATTGACTTCGAACCGCGGCTGCATACACATTGACACCCACTTGTTTGGCGTCGCGGCCACGCGGGCGGCGGCGCGGCGTAGACCAGGTCGAAGGGGCGCGCGCATCCGTCCGGCTCACGCAGCGGGGAGACGCTGGATCCACCCATCGGGGATCGACAGCGACAGTCACGGGGGGGCAGCCGTGAGGGGACAGACAGGGGAAAGAGGGAGGCAGGAAGAGGGAAAAGGGGAAAATATGAAGCAGTACCACTGCGCTAAACCCCACATGCACGACCAGACACACTTTTTTTGTCGGCGGGTCGGGGGCGGGCCCCTTCCGGTTAAGAGCTAGGCGGGGCGCGCGAAGCACGAATTGGGGAGACAGGGCGCGGGCGGGCACAACCAGACACACGCACATGCAACACACATGCGCGTCAGCATACTCCGCGCACGCATGCATCTCCGAACGCGGTGGCGGATGCGAGCGCAGCGCGGCTGAGTGCATAGGCATATCTGTATAACGTTGACCTCGGGTCAGGTTTCAAGGTTTCGGCTGGTGGGGATAGGAAAAAAGGGAGAAAGAGGGGGACAGGCTGAGGGAGGAATAAGCCGTGGAGGTCTCTGGAGGTCCACGGACGTCTCCAGAGGCCCCCATACGCATCCGTATGCCCGAAAACATCCCTCAATTTCTGAGCAGCTCCTCGGACCTGGAGGGTCGTGGAGGAGAGCGCCGGGGAGAAAGAGGACAACCAGGAGGGGGGAGGAAGGCGCATGGCAGGATCAGTCCGCATCGAATCGGCAAAGCTGGTCGGATCGGAACGCGCGTCGGATCGGGCTGCACGAGCACGGGGTCAAAATTGCATCGGATCCTCTGCGCCAGGAAGTGCAACTGCTTTCTGCAAGCGTCGGGCCGCATCGGCGCGCAGCAAGATCTAATTCGAATCGGATCTGGCCGAGGTCGATCTCGAATCGGATCGGTCGGATCGAAAGGGGCCCTGCAAGGAGGAAGAAACCAAGACAAAGACATCTCGAGGAAGAACTGCCGAGCAGGCCAGCCTTCACCGCACCCACACAGTTGACGGCCGCCGAGCTGCCCACGAAGACACCCTCGTGCGCCAGCAGGTAGTGGGCCATCTCTAGGGCCTCCTACCCGGGGCGAGTCACGCGGACGAAGAGCACCGATGCAGCACCGACTCAGCTTCACAACGCCCGGGCGGAGGCCCATGCAAACAAACAGCCTCCCGCCTGACTGGACTATCCCCGAGAGCAGCAAAAGCCTGCGATGGGGGCCATGGTCACAAAGATGGAGGATAAGGAGGGGAACGAGGAGGAGGAGGAGGAGGACGAGAAGGAGCAGGAGGGAGCAAAACAGAGAGGGAAGGGATATACACACAAAGAGAAAGAGAAAGAGAGAGAGAGAGAACAAAAAAAAAGAGAGAGAGAGAGAGCAACATAGAGAGAGCGACAGAAAGAAAGAGAGTGAAAAAGAGGAGGGTTAAAGATGAGGAAGAGGAGGGGGATGATTATATGACTAACGTATGGAATACATGTATGGAAGTGGAGCTAGTGGAAAAGAGGCGAGATAGAAAGAGAGAGAGAGAGAGAGAGAGAAAAACCATATCACAACCAACAACGCGGTCTACCTGTTTATATGTATCACCGCGACAATATTGTGTGGCCTGAATGCGGTATGACTGCCGGCTGGCGGACTGGCGGAGCGGGCGGAGCAGAAATTACAGCACGCGGACATACATCCCACCCAATCTGTCATGATAGAACTGACGGGGTGTAATGTCCAATCCCGTCCAGATATAGCAAAACTATCAATTAAGAGGGATGCGATCTATTCCGAGGGAGCGCAAGAGCCACCTGCCCATGCTGTGCATGTTCGCAAAGATTTGAAATTCCAGGCGTATACCAAGCCGCATAAACTTTCGTCACGGGTGCGTAGGTTTTTGCCAGTGCGGACAACACATGAAGCTGTCGTCAAAGTCGAGGTTCAGTGCCCCCCTGACACTTGCGCATCAGAGGTCTCGCGGTACGGCTGTCGTCATGGTTGGAGGACAATCGAGCACGAGCTAAACGCGATTAGCCGAGACGGCGCGAAGACATGTTCTCCAACTGTGGAGTTCGCAGGGCTGCGCTACGGGAGTGTCACGAACTGCTGGAGGTTGCAGACGCCTGTCGGCGCCCTCTTCATGGAGTTCCTGGACATGCCTGATCTGCCGGATCCGGTCGATTCCAGTGCTCGTTCCAGTGGTGCGCGGAGCATAGAGAAGATCTGCTCTAAAGGCGCGCGGGTGACATCCGACGTGGCAAAGCTGGGCTTGTGCGCGGGGGAGATGCGGCTGGGCACTATCGGGATGCGAGGCATCAAGATGCTCATCTGCGACTTGGGAGGTGCCGAGACAGCCTCCCGCAAGAGCGTCAAGACCCCGATGTCGACGTTTCCCCAGTCAGTGCAGGGCTGTGTTTCCAAACAGGGGGGCCACATTTCGCCCGACGTGCAGGGGAAATGGGGCCACGGGGTCGTTCCTTCGGCAGAGAACGTGAATGCATTTCACAGTATCGTGTGCACATTCGGTGCTTAATCGCAATCTTCTTCTTTGCCGTCACCAATGCTCCCGCGGCCACCATCACTCTCGGATTCATCGCCGAGCCCCCTTTGGCGGCGCCCAGAGGGGGGTAGCGGGAGGGGGGAAGGCTTCTCAGAAGGAGGCTGCTTCCTAGAAGGCGCTGACCTTACATCTACAGACAAGGTCCGCGCCTTCTAAGAAGCAGGAGTGCTTCAAAGAAGCCTTCCCCCCTCCCACTACCCCCTCTGCGCGTGGCCGACCCCTGGCATCGGCGCCTGCTTCTCCGCATCTTCTTGTCGGCATTTCCTGGGCGCGCCGGCCCATGCCGACGGATCGCTCCGTCTTCGCGAAAACGGACACGCGGCTGCCTCCGTTGGCACAGCCGCCCACTCCCTTCGTGGACGGCGGCGGGCCCGCGCCCCCCCGCCGGGCGGGGCAGAGCTGGAGGCGCCCCCTTCATGCCTGCTAGTCGAGGCGACTCTATTTTGGCCAATGCTGAAGAGGAGGAGCAGGAGGACGACGACGAGGAGGAGAAGCAGGAGGAGAGGGGGAAGAGGAGGGGAAGAGGAGGGGAAGAAGGAGGAGGGGGGGCGAGGAGGAGGAAAAAAAGGAGGAGGAGGAGGAGGAGGAGGAGGAGCAGGAGCAATCGTCCCCTCCCGGCGCCTAAATTCCTGATGGCTTCGCGACTCCCCCTCCTCGCTCCCTTCGAAGATCCTCGCGAGGTCCGTGCGCCACCCACTCGCCCAGCAGCACTGAAAGAAGCACGGCCGTCGCCCAAAAGCCCAGCGTCGCAGCATCGCCCTTTGAAGATATCGCGCGGCCCTGATGCCTGCCAGGGTGATGCTGTGCGCGGTCGCCCTCGATTCCAGGGTGTTGGCCCGCCCCTTCCTCGACCGCCCACGATCCTGCCCTTCCTCAGTCACACGCGAATGCCCTCGACTTCTCGTGAGAGGGCCCTTCCTCCACAGCCGCTGCAGCGTCGGGCATTCGCAATCTGCGCTGCTACGCAGTGCCATTTGCTTAGATACAATGGCATCCGCCAGGCTACGCAGTGCCATCTATCCCGAGGCTTAGTGTCATTTCTTGCTACTTCGCATGTGTAGGCCAAGGCCAAGGGCAATGTTGGTTGGACGGGACGTGTGGAGGAAGAAATGTATTGAGGTGGGAGAACAGTGTGGCCACCTGTACGGCTATGCAAGATAATACGCCAGGATACGCGCTGCCATCAGATAGCTACGCATGGCCATCTGTCCAGATTCACAATGCCATGGTTTGCTTGCCACGTAGCTGTCCGTCCGGCTTCACGGTGCTCTCTTTGCCAGTTCGCATTTTTAGGCCTACGTCAAGGCCACCGAATGGGAAGAGGTGACGGATGCTAAGGAGGAGGATGATGATGTGTGCAGGGATCTTGGCGTTTAGGGGTAGTAAGCGTGTCGACCGCCAACGCCACAGTACTGAGCGTGTCGACCGCCAGCCGCAGGCCCAAGCATGAGTTTGACTTGTCAGGACCCTCTGTGAGGGCAGTTTGGAGTAGTGGGAGGAGGTGGTTAGAGAGGAATAAGGATCTGGCAGGGCTCTGTCCTGGTAACAGCCACGCGCAGCTCCAGACTTTTCCGCAGGGCCCTCGGTGAGGGCGACCACGAGCCTCGACATGCGGTGGGGCTGGAGAAGTTTTGGGAATGAGGAGCTACAAGCACACGTGGCACACCAGTGCGACAAGCCACGGGTACCATGTCGTGCTTGTTGGGCCGCCAGTAGTAGGAGTAATCATGTTGTTTTTCCTTGTGAGTGCGCATTGAGTTCTGGAAGGCGCGTGCCACCGATGTATTCAAACTTGTAGCTGGACATCTAGAGGGTGGCACATCGCACTCAGTATAGATAGATAAATATATACATACACATATGTATACTCCCTCGGCAAGGGCATTTTAGAAGTGGATTCCTAGCTGCCCTCGGTGAGGGTTAGAACTGAGGAATGCCCTCGGTGAGGGCCCTTGTCACAGGCGGGATCAGATTGTGGAGGTGGTGAGGAGTGGAAAGGGAATACCTTGCCGACGCCTGCAGATCTACTACAGTACGCACTCGGGGGCTTGTCCACTTTTTCGTGTCTCCTTACACCTCTCGTTCCCATTAGTCTGCGCAGAGGTGACTTGACTGGTCGACGTGACGCCTCAGGTCTGTTTGCAAACAAAGAAGAACGCAGCAGCCTCGTCGCTCATGTTTGCCCAACGTAAAAAAAAGTTGCAACGACGGAGGAGATGGTCCTGGTCAGAGGCGCGCACGGCCAGGTCCACCCCGGGCCTCCCCCCGTTGTGCTCGGGGAGCCCGAGCGCGAGGTTGGCTGTGAGCCGGTCCAAGCCGATGCCCTCGGCGATGGTGTCAGTGCGGTGCCGCCGCACGGACTGCTCCGCCTGGCGGGGCCGAGGCTCTCTCATACTCCCTCGCGTCGTGAGCGAAGCGCGGAGGGAGGCGCTGCTTTTGGCCGCTCCGCTTGCGATCTCGTGGGGGCCCTTACTGGGCCGCGGGTCCACGGTTCGGGGAGAAGAGCGGGTGTCAGGGAAGGGGTCGACGTCTCCAGGTCCACGCTGCGAAAAATCGTGTCGTCGGGGGTCTGGGGGGGGGGGGGGGGCAAAGGCCTGCGCGCAAGGTATCTGCCGTCCACCTCCGCCGCCAGGAGGCGGGAGGGGAGGGGGAACGCATGTGAGCTGAGGGAGGGACAGCATTGTCAGGCAGGGCTGGACAAATCCAACCCGCCATCTGGGCGCGCGCACGTGGATTATCGAATCAAATCTTCCAATTCCCTTCCTCCCCTGCGGGGACTACCCCTCCTCTCCCCTGCCCTACGTCACACAACTCCCCCGTTTGCCAGTTGACGAAATGTGGCTGGCATTCTGGCGCGGTGCATGGTCTCCCTGACCAACCGCGGACTCACTTGAAGCTACACAGGCCCCTGCCCAATCTGATAAACAAACTCAATGTGCTAGGAGCGCCCCTACTCCAACAAGGGCCCGCTCTTCTGCGGGGCACCCTCTGTTAGACAAGTTTCCACCCCCAGACGTACCCCCACCCCTTGCACAGGCCCCCTCCCTTGCGCAGCATATTCTATTAGGCAGGGCCCCCCCCCAGGCTCATTACACACGCATATATACACACACACACACACTTATTAGTGATAAGCAGGCCCCTCCTTCCACACCCGACCCCTCTGTTGCACAGCAGCCGTTGCTAAGCAAGCCCCACCCCAAACTGATTAAAACAACTCCTTTGATACTAGAAGGGGCCCTCATCCTGCACAGCACCCTCTATTAAACAAGGCCTCTTCCCCAGGCTGGTTCAAACAAACTCCTCGATGCTAGACGACGCACCCCTCCCCCATAACAGGCTCCCTCTGCTGCGAAGATCCTGATATTAGACAGGGCCCCTCCCCGAGGTCGATTGATCAAAAACTGTTTGGTGCTACACCTGCCACTCTCACCGGCCTTTCTGTTGCAGAGCGCCGCCTGCTGGGAGAACCCATCCCCAAATTATTGTTTGTTGTTGTGTTCCTTCTCAGCCTCAACCATCCGATGCGGTACAATTGTTGACCTCACAAACACACCAACGTGCACCAGGCAAACCCGAAATCACCTGACGGTCAACCTGCAATAGGCGAGCCAACACGCGAGACCTTAGCCAATGCAGATAAACAAACTCAAACCATCACGCGCGCTCAATATTCTACTTGCCGTGGGGCCAAGCGTAAAGCGCATCAGAAGGGCCGTGTCCAGATGATCGGGCCCTTGATTTGGAACCCCACGCGTGGGCATCCGAAATTACACTGAAGTTTGGTATTCGCGACAGTTTTGGGCCATCTTCGGGCAACAGCGCGACTCTCTGTTCGGGACTGGGGCCTCCGAGGGGGATCTTGGAACCACACTTTCGCAACAAATGGGAATTCCGGAACATCAGAACTTCTGCACAGTTCTTTGGGTCTCCTCGGGGGGCTCGCAAGAAGTAGGGGGAGGAGGGAGTGGGGAGGAGGAGGAAGAGGAGGAGAAGGGGGAGAAGGAGGATGCACGGTCATAATTTTTCCATCCGCTGGGACGACGTCGCTGCGTATAAAGATGTGCACTGTCCCCAAGGAGGCCCTTGGAGCGACAACTTCACAAACTTGGAAAAAATAGCTGTTGTTGAGAAAATCCTGCTCTGTGCCTCGGTCAGCTTTACAGAAGGGAGAGAAAGTCAGGGTTAAAGCTTGAAGCCCGCCTTTGCGGCAGGGCAGCGCACCCATGAACTCATTTCAGGCAAACCTGTCCTAAGAGACACGAATGCATGGCCAATCGTTGTTCCATCCGCCAGGACTACTTCGTTCCGTGTAAGGATGTGCATTGTCCCCATAAAGAACCTCGGAGCGACAATTTCACAGACATCAAAAACAGCTGTTGCTCAAAATCAAAAACAGCCTGTGAAGCCCAGGATATAAAGTCGGAAACATCGAAATCAATATTTGCGAAAACTGTCGTGGACTCATGTATGTGGCCGACAAGCTTGCACAGACTTCTGCAGCAACGCCTCACGATGTTGATTCACGATGGCCCAGCAGAGAGAGAAGGGGTACACCACACCCTGCTTGGAGACAATCTTGAAATCTTTCGTCTCAAGGATGAAGTGGTGGAGGCCGGTAGCACTGCATGCACTTCGCCTTCGACATCGAATTCCCAGCGGCTGCAGATCAATGCGACATCCAAGGGGTCGACTGGATTTCCTCCAGGGAGTGCCGAACGCGCACATGTCGAAACAACTTTCTTAATGACCCCAGAAGGCCTCGGACACGACGGACATCTGGCTGCCTCCAAAGGTGGGAGCCCGCTGGGTTCTCGACGATCACTGCATGGGCATCCATGCAATAGACACTGTCGAAATATACTGCAGGTAGAGGCGCACAATATGTTTCCGATGTCGATTCGTTCTGGCAACTACTGCTGAGGTCGGGCAGACCCCTGGGAAACTCGGAGGTCCCCAGAATAGGCGGGCCCTTGGGGCTCCTCGCCGAAGAGAACGATTCCACGGTGTCACCATGAGGACGGCGATCACCAGCCGCCACGGAGCCAACCACGGATCAACTGGACCAGGTTCCGATTGCATACGTTGTGACCAGGCCATTGCCGCATGTCGATCTCGAGAACAGGATGGCCCATCGACGCCGTCGACCTTCTCCAGGCTTCGACGAGGTGCCCGGAACCAGCAAAGATCTCGAGGGCCGCCGGCCGCCCACGCTGCTCTACAAAGAGCGGCAGGCATTCACGAGGGTCGCGACAATGCTCGAGGCGGCCTGCTCGGCGGCGCCGAAGGCGCTGAGGTCGAGGAGGCTGAGCTGCTCGTTGATGCGGCCCCCGCGATCGTGGCGGGCGAGGCTGCGGCCGCCGGCCCAGCGGCCGCGCATCTCGGCGACCAGGGGGGTGCGAGCCTTGAACAAGAGACACCCCTCCGCGGCGAAGGCGATGCAGGTTCGGGTCGCCGATGGCGGTCAGACTGCGCGCCATCGACGCCCGCTTCAGGGCGCGACCCCACTGGGCCCAGCCGAAATCGGAGATCAGCTTGTCGCTGGGGAACTTCGAATTCAGCGCCTCGAGGACCTGTGGGAGTCACGGGAACAGCGGGTCATCGGCCACGAGGCCCTCGCCCTCGTGGACTGTCATGGACGCGTCTGCGCCCTCCTGAGGGCGAAACTGGATCGACCGCATCTGGCTCGTCTCGCCGGCGCGGCGGCGAGTCGCAAGGGTCGGGGCGGCGATCGGCTAGCCCTTCAGGCGAAGGCCTCATTGACCTGGCCGACGCCGATCACGCACTGCGCACTGCGCGCAAAGGCACAGGGCGACCCGCGCGCGCGGGAGACGGCTCTGACGGTGGGACGACGAAATGTTGCAAGTTGCTCCTGGCCGCGTACGGCCGCGCCTACATTGCGACGCCACCTCGACAAAACGCCCGCGCCCCCTAAATTTCAATGTTGGCATCGAGCGAGCACCCCAAGTCCGGGAGGACAAAATAATGCAAGTCAACATTGAAATACGGGGGAAGGGGAGCTCCTCGGATATCGATGGAATATGATCAAAATTGTCATCTTGTTTCTCGGAACGATCATATAACTTGCGATATTTTGTCCGCCCACTGCGTTTGTCATCCCCCTGCAGGGCGAAGGCTGACGCGGAGGGCGGGGGACTCGGAGAACTGGGGGAAGGATGATGGCGAGGATGATCAAGGGTACAGGGTCGACGTTCGGTCGAAGGTCGACTGCCGAGCTTCGAACAGGGTGCGAGCCGGAGCCGAGCCGCCACTGGACCGAAGGGTTCACGCCTCGCTGATGTCTGAGCTGGACCCAACTGGTTCGAGTTGGGCTGACCTGGACGCACCTGCACAGGGCTGACCTGGACGGGACTGCCATATATTGAGCTCGGGGGGATTGGGCCGCGCAGACCTGAGCTGGGCTGCGCTGGGCTGCCTCCGCTGCGCAAGCAAAACAGAACAATATATATATATATATATATATATATATGTATGTTGGGCTTCGCCTTCGCCCGGCGAGCAGCGCCGAGCCCGCGTCGCGCCTGGCCCGCGCCAGGCCGATCGTGGGCCGCGACGAGGACATGCGCGGCCCTCGCTGCGATCGCATCGCCAGGCGCACCCTTGGCTGCGCTGGGCACTGCCCAGGCTTTGTGCCGAACGTCGCCCGGTGCTGGCACGCGGCCGCGCAGCGGGGCAGGGCGCGCCAGGCGACGACGGGGTGGCGGGGCGCGCGCGGCGCCTGCATCTGGCCTATTTGAATACTCCCAGTACATTGGAATACTATTTGAATACCTATTTGAATACCTATTTGAATACCTATTTGAAAACCTCAATTATATGGGGGAACCGATTTGAAACTTGAAAATAGAAAGAAAGAAAATACATTCTTTTTAACTCCACTATTCGCGCGTAGCAAATGCAAATCCCCATATAGCTGCAGTTTTCATATAGGTATTCAAATAGGTATTCAAATAGGTATTCAAATAGCACTGGAGTTTTCAAATGAGGAAAATGCAAGCGCGGCGGGCGCGGGGCCGCCCTGTCGCCGCCCGCTGCTCTGAGCAGGCCACGCGCCAGCATCGCCCAGGCAGAGCCTGCCGCGCCGAGCCCGCGCAAGTCCGCCGCGCGGCCCAGGGGCGGCCGCTCGCGCTCCAGGCGCAGCCCGAGCGCGGCCCTGGCGCCGGCCTGGAAATAGCTGACAGGAGGTCACCGTCACTCCGCACCAACTCATGCCCGTCGGGCGCCCACCGCGGATGAGCCGACAGGCCTCGGCTGAGCACGCCAGCGCTTAGATGGGCAAAAGGGCCCTGCGACAGGATGTTTACTCAGGGAAGGCCATTGCGAGCGCGCGTCAAGATCGGCTGCCAGTCGGGAAAAATACAACTCAAGAAAT